GAGGGGGGAGGGGGGAGGCATGGTAATCTTCTGTGTTTAGTTCCAATTAAAAACCACCAGTACTTCACCCGGGGGGAGGGGGGAGGCATGGTAATCTTCTGTGTTTAGTTCCAATTAAAAACCACCAGTACTTCACCCAGGCAAACTTGAGAACCGAATTTTTTTTTTTTTTTCCCCTTTTCAATGAGGGTTCTTCTGGTGAACAGTGCTACCAGACCAAAATGGCTGGTGGCGCCCAGCCAAAAAAGGAAAAAACGTGCGCCACTGGTGATTCGTTTTCCTTTGGCGCGCAGACTGCGGCGCAGTGCAAATCTGCTGCTGACTTTTCCAGTCGTTTAATGGATGTCCCGAAGGACTTTTGAAGTCTTATAAATTACTTGACCTTCCTTCATTGAAATAGTAATGACTTCCGCAGACAGGTATGAAACGCGCACCTGCTGCTGACTTTTTTAAAGTTTTTTTGCAATTCAATGCCGACCACCTTTCCAAACTTCATCATGATCCTGGCCAGCACCCAACTTTGTTTTTGCCTTTTGCTCTTGATACCTCATTACCCAGACTGCGATTTGAACCCTTTACACTAGACCAGGAAGTGCAGGTCCTTAAACGGGAATCAGTCTGAAATCCGAAACCAGTGTCATACTCAGTGGTACTCACCCAAGCTGCGTTGAGCTGTGCTCATGTCATCATGTGAAAAAAAAAAAAAAAAAAAAAAGCATTGAAAAATTTGAAACTTTGGATGCATGTATAAAAAGGATACAAACAGTGCTTGTGCTGCTGCGGCTGTCGTCACCGCTGCAGTAAACGGGCAGCAACGAGTTCCAGCTCCTAATGACACACAAAACGGACAGCCTTGCCATGAAAAGGCGCCCTCTTATAGAACGTCCTCACGAGTCGGTGAAACTCCGACGAAAATAGTGTCACAAGCACACGTTGCTTGTCCTTTTTTACGTCGCTTTCTGCCTGTGGTTCACCAGGGAGTTCGCTATGACTATATATCGTCATATCCAAGAAGTCCCGGATGATCTGGAGCTAGGTCCAAAATCTCCAAATGGATCAGGAAGAAGTCGTAAGAGCTTGTTCCTCAGCCTCAGTCCGAGCTCCCTTTCCTAAAATGGAATGGCAAGTGGCAATCGATCAACCACAGAATACAGTGAGTGAGATTTTATCATTTTAGTATTTTACTACAAACTTGCAAAAAATCAGGAGCTTTTTTTTTTTTTTTTTTTTTTTTGAACTACGCTGTATTCTTCTCTCAAATCTCTCATCATCTTTCACCCCAAAAGTCAGGAACTTTTGACAAACTTGCGTCGTTCTCAAAAAAGAGACAAACCTATCACAAATACATAGATGATTATTAGATGGACACTTTTCTTTTCTTTTTTTTTAAATAAAGGGCAACGGCCTTTAGATATCATCGTGAAACCGACCAACCCTGGGTAATTCATGAATTTCATTCATCTGGTACCATCAAGACTCTAACTCGCGTCTCTATTTTCAACAGTTTATGGGTGTACCAACTGAGCTAGGCGCGTCGGTAGATTGCCACTTTGATAACACTGCAATGGTCACAAATACATGGACAACATAGGGGCTCACTCCGCTACACAACATTCTACGTGTATATGTACCAGGAAGTAGTGCAGATACATTCAGATCTATCCAACATTTTGGACGGATTGGGAACATAACCAGTTCCAGATAAAGTTAGAATGTTGTGTAGTGGGCGGGGGCGTTGGGGCAGGAGTGGGGGTGGGCGCCGGGGGTCGGGGATTTGCGTGGGAGTCAGGAACCCCAAGGCCGGGGGTCGGGGGCGGGTGTGGGGG